TGAAAAAAAAAAAAAATCCATGTTATAATATTCCACAAAAAAAATTCTTCATAGCTGCTTAGAATTTAAGGGAAGTTAATACTTACAGATGCACTTGAAAAAATATTCTCTTGATTTTGCACCTAAGGTACCACTGAAGTTAATGAGATGTGAGCTCTTGAGTCCTTTAGTTACTTTTGAAAATTGTACTTAATGATCAATTCCAGCTTTTCTGAAGTATTTATTTTTGTGTAGTTCAAAAACTGTTGTTATGTCTCTTTTATTATGATTCAGCATTCCTTTGGTCTACTTGACATAAATACAATAGTACAAATTTTATGGTAAATCTCCTTTACCTTACTAGCAAGAAATCGTCTTTTGTTGCTTTCATACCAGTAGAAAAAAACCAAGAGGGTCATAATGTGCTCACGAATAAGGGCAAAGAGAACTGGAGCAGAGAGACATGGGAAGACATTTAGGGGTTTTGCTTGCTAAGTGGAAGGAAAAGTTCTGTGCATTAGCAGTAAATGGGGAGGCACGGGGTGGAAAAGAAACAAAACGCTGCTGCTGGAACGGCATCCTTGATCTGGCTCTTACTGACACTCAGCAGCAATTGAGGGCTCTGAAGGGAAATGGCTGAAAGAAAAAGAGGGTAAGAATGAGGTGAAGGGAGAAAGGTTGGCAGGGAAACAGGTAGCTGCAAAGTTAAACACACATTTAAAGTCCTTTAGTGTAATCTCACAAGGTGTCACGATGACTGAGGCTGTAAGGATTTGCCCTTGACTGGCAGAAGGGTGGGCAGCAGGATGAGACCAGGGAAAGGCTGAATACAGAGCAAATGTACAGGGGAGTGGGTGGATAACAGTTCTCAAACATAAAAAATTGCAGTAGTTGGAAAGAGCAGAAAAGGTGGAGATTACAAGGTTTGACAGTTCAGGGGAAACAAACCACTTGTGTATGACACTGCTGAGAAATGCTATCCAGGGGACTTGGTAGCAGTAGTCTGTTTTTTGCAGGGACACAGTGTCAAGTGTTTTAACAAGGGCCACGTGTAACAGCGTTTGGTATCTCCAGCTCAGGCACTCTGGCTTTTCCTGAAGAAGTTTGATGGCAGCACCTTCACCTTGCCCTTTGGTTGGGGGTTCTGTCGCTGTGGGCGCTGGGGCTGCAGCACTTGTGCTGTGGGCATGGGAAGCGTGAGAAGGCAGATCCTGGTTGCAGCAGATTCATGGCGTTGCTTTCAGTGGTGGGTGGTGGAACAGGATCACAGTGTAACAAACAGTTACTCCTAGTGTGTTGGGTGGCTTGTGAAACAGTTCCTCCAGCACCTGTCCCAGGTGCCCGTGTGCTTTTCCACCATGGCTCACACTGTGTGTGTCTGTCGTGAGGCTTTGCAGGGTGGTACAATGATTAGATGCCCCAGGTGCACTGTCCTGTTCCCATGCAGGTTGCATTGGATGTGATGCTGAAATAGCCTCCAGCTGCTTATCCCACTCAGTTTCAGGAATTTCCATTGCAGTGGTTTGTCCACAGTTTTGTTTACAAGGTTGCCAGCACAAAGCAAAAGGAGTTGCCTCATTTGTACTCCTTTTATCGCTTACATCCCAGCTTGTCAGTGGCAACAGGTCAAGTCAATGCACTTCTCACTGGCTTTCAGATTTGCCGATCTATTTCCAGTTTTAACCCATTTATGAAACCAGTGGTCCAACTACTGGTCTTTTCATAACCTTCTTTTAGTAACTGAGTACATATTCATGAGGCAGGGTGGGAGGGCAGATCAAAGCTCTATGCAAGTATCTGTGTTTGTGCACTTTATTCCAAGATCATATCCACTGGGAGTCTTGGCTCATGGCTGCAAACACCCTCAGTCCAGGATATTGCGATTTAGGTGAGGAAATGAAGTGGATTTAGCTGGAGTACCACATACCACACTTGAGTGAGCTATTTACTCTTCAGGGGACTGAAATATTTTATTCTTGGGCAACCAAGTGGAAGTAACACTGTGGAAGTTTAGTTGGGTATGAAATGCATACCCTACCACAGCATTTCTAAACTGTTAGCCAAATGAAAGATAATGATGTTTTTTCCCCATGCTGTTTGCAAAGTGGCCAGTCTCAGTCTCTACTTCTGAGCAAACTGGGGATGTTTTTCTGTCCTCAGTGAAAAGTAGATACAGATACATTTTGAAGGCAATTAGGTAGAGTATTTTTATTTTTGCTCACAATAAACTGCAAGCACAAAATTGCTAGCACAAGGGTGAAGGTTATTTACTCAGATTATATGCCACATGTGATTAATCCGTTACCTGCTTTTTTTCTTAGCAAAATTTTAAATTTCCAGGGGGTCTGTACAGAATTCTAAGGTGTCAAATTACAAGGCTGAAAACATAGATCGCTGAGGGCTGTGTGTGCAGAATATACCCCATTAATGAGGTGCTTCTTGCTGCACAGCTGCTCTCAGGTAAGCTGAGACTCTCTGCCCAAGTCTCCCAGCAACACCAGCTTCCCTGAAATCCTGCAAATCAGCACATCCAGGAGAGGTGTATGGCTGTCATAAGGCCATTTTCTCCTGCTGTTCTGTAACAGCATTGCTCTGAAAAATGATAAATGAAATAAAACTGCCAAATAGGCCTGCAGGGAACAAAAGGCCTGTTATTTCTCCAGTGGAAAGGAAACTGTTGAACATTGTTTTACTTCCTGTACCCCCCCAGCCTCTTGGCAATTGCTGGTTGAAGTGCTGATTGCTGCTCAGTCCTGCTCCTTGGCCATGCATCCCTGCCACCTTCCTTTGTTCCTGTCATTCTGTTTCTGAAACTACCTGAGCTGCAGGATAGCCAGGTGTGAACAAACCCAGCCACACACACACACAGAGTTCTGGGTGTGCTCTGCCTCCACCAGCAGGGACTGGTCAATATGAGCACTTTCAGAAGGCAGAGAGATGTTAATGTTGTGTGTAGTCAAGGATGGGAGGTAGGGCCAAGGAGCAGGATCTCTCTTTTGGATGGCAGCCCCAAGCTTGATTAGCTTATGGTGACTGGTGGGCCCAAAGTGGTCTATTCCATAAGTTTGGCAGGATGCTCAGGTAAAGCACTGTGGGCTTTGTGTGATCTTTGCTACTGAGTATTTATGGTATAGCTGTACAAGTGCTGCAGGGAGCTGAGGAGATGATGGAGAAAGAGGCTTGCTCTGCACCATCTGACACATGTTCAATTATTTTCTAAAGATGATTTGATGATGTAACACAAATCAGAAGCCATAATTCTGATGTCAAATTTTTCCTCACTGTGTCCTTTTCTCTGGAAAAAGTAGAGTGAATCCTCACTGCAACAGGGATCTCAGTTCTAATTCATTATGCCTGCTGTAATAATAGGCAGTTCTAAGGTTAGAGTAGTGTATAGACAAGATGATAATTATTGCTCTGAAGCTTTTCTGGAGAAGGCAAGAGGAAATTTTCCATTAACATTAGAAACAAATACAAGAGCAGGTGATGAATAAATGCTTCCACCATGCTACTTCTCCATGATCAAAAAACATTTGCCTAATCCCAACATCTAACTGTCATGTAATTAAAAATGGATGAGATCTCCTGAACATATAAAAGATTGCATACAGCAGCATAGGTACTTGATTTAAATGCACAATTAATACCTTCACTCAGCTCCACATTGAAGTGCAAGATCAACATGACGTGTATCCAAGAGATGTAATGAAATTTTTGCACCAAAGCAGCTTATTAGCGAAACTGTGCAGGTAACTTTTTTATTTTGAGACAGTTGGCTGAAGGGGGAAAACTAATCTTCAAGCTATTTGTAAATTTTGGGAGGGGTCTTTGATATTTTGAGAAGCTAGTGAGTTAAAAAACTGCAAGCCAGCTCAAACCCAGGCACATCCATTATTTTAACAATTAACTTTTACTTACCAACAACGTATCTGGTATGTAAAAACATGTAAAAAGTCACACATTAATACTGGTCATAAAGTGTAAAAAATTCTGTGCTTGCTGATTAGGTACCTGTTGTAACTGCAACCACATTCTTCCCTAGAAACCCACCCTCCATGGGCCTCCTGTGCAGCCCCTGGGAGAGCTGCCATGGATTCAGGAAAGACACTGTACAAAGCTTCTGTGAGTTCAACTGCAAATTAGGCATTTATGTTATTCCCAGTGCACACATGGAAACACCACTTTCTGAATTTTCACACATCTGACTTATTCAGTAAAATACTTAATACTGGTAATTTTAAGCCTGTAAAAAGTACAGCTCAGTATTGGACCCAAACTTATTACTGTCTTGTTAGTTTTTGCTATCTTCATTTCTGCTTTTGAAGGACTATTAATCCAATTCCCCCCCCCCCCCCCCCCCTTTTTATTTTTAATTATATGCCAGGATTCAACAGTTTTATTTCAGTCTGGTAGCACTGAGCTGGGTTTTTTTTGTCCTACCTGATCATAATGACAGCTAAATATAATATATAAACAAAATATAAACAGGAATGTATAGAAAAAGGCAGATGTTTTGTTACACACTTGGTAAATTATTTCTGTTGTTTACCTTATGCCAAACAGTTTTGATTCTGCATCTGACTTAGTCAAAAAGCTGTACCCATACATTTTTGTGACTAAATTATTTTCAGTATTTTACATCTAGTGCAGAGAAAACACTGCTATTAAAATAAATGCTTTTTTTAAAAAAATGGAACTTTTTTTTGAAACATAATCCCATCGAGAAAAAACCACAATATTTTTATATATCATTTTGGATATATTTTATGTGAAAACATGATCACCAGTCAAACTAGTGATATCTAAACCAAATACATTATTATGACTTCTAAAATAAAAAAATCAGAACAAAACTAAATCACCACCTGTTGGTGATTTAAACACAACAAAACTCTAGTATGCTTTGAAAGTGTCTACTAAATATAATAAAAAGAATAAGAGAGCAATTAACATTTAGTCTGTTACATTAAAAAAACTGGATGTACGTTTCTATTGCCTGTTAGCTTTACCTAAGCCTTCTCAACTACTACAAAAATAAAGAGGAAAAGTAAAACTCATCATTCCAAGTCAAAAACATTCAAATCAGTTGATACAACATTACAGTACAGTCAACTAACATCATTTCAGGTCTCCTTTCCTCAGTGTACGAGTCCTCAGACCAGCGTTACAAACCTATTTCAATGCAGTCTCAAAACCGTGTGTGAGCTTTGCGAGATCCTGCGCTCTGCTGATGGCTTCAGGAGGATGGGGTGGTGCTACTTTTGAACCCCAGGGGAACCCCAGCCTCTCATTCACTGTATTCAGCACTGTAGTTAGAACAGCATGAAGTTTAGCACGATAACTAAAAAAAAAAAAAAAGGAAAAGAAAAAAAAGGAAAAGAAAAAGAAGAATTGGAAGCTAGGTGAAGCTGCCATGTGTGTCCAACAATTGCGATACGCTATACTAAAAAATTCTGAAATATCCACCTGTCCTCACTGCTCTGCCACAAACTAGCAAAGTCAAAAATACAAAAGTCTTCAACTTCTCGTTTTTGCAGAATAAAGCAAAAAAGTCTTTGTGCTCCTTACTACCAGAAGCAAAATATCCTCTGAGTTACCACATGTAATAGCTTCTGGATGTGTCGACTTGGGTTGGCTTGGTCTCTGCAGAACCATCCTTGTCTTTTTCACTGTCACCTTCCCAGAGATTAATAAGGGGTGGGTAGAGCTCATTGAGTGGGATGGAAGAGGTCTTTTGCATATATTTTTTCAATGAGTGGTGGTAGTTTTTTCTCTTAAATCGTTTTGCAATATAAACAGAAATGGAGGCCAGGCTGATGACAGCAAACATGGATCCCATTACTGCTGCTAGGGCTGTGCTGGTTTCTTGGTCTGAAATATCTAGAGCAAAAGCTGCATTTTTTGTTGTAACGTTAACACAGGACTTCTGTGTTTGCAGATGGATACTTGACACCGTGAGACACACCTCGTAGTCTGTAGATGGCTGTAAATGTGTGAGGTTATATTCATGTACATCGACCGGGACCCGGGCAGTGTATGTAATGTGGGGGTTGTCAATCTTCATGGTGGCTGACGACCATTTTAAATTGGAAGTCATAACGTTGGCATTAACTTTCCAAGAAACCAAGATGGAATGGGATTCAGCTTGTTTAACATAGATTTTCAGGACCTGGGTACCATCCAGAAGCGTTCCGTTCACCCGGAGAGTAGCGATCCTCGTGTCAGCCCCTTCTGCGTTTTGAGCAACACAGGTGTAGCTCCCCGAGTCTTCAACCTGGATGTTAGAGATTTCCAAGGTGCCTTCACTGCTCAGCTTGTATTTGTCAGACAGACTTTCAACAGTTACTTTATTGCCCAGAGGAGTGACCCAGTAAATTTCTGGCTCGGGTTCTGCCATGGCCCGACAATCTAAAAATACTGTCATGCCAACGTCCAGGTTTAAGTGATTTGGAAAGGTCTCACGGGAGATAATTGGAAGACACTGTTCATTTGAATCCTGTATTAACACTTCCTTCACCTGCTGTCCTCTGTACTCTGGAGGCATAGCACAAAACATGGAGAGAGGCTCCATGAAACGGATATTAGTTTTGTTTGAGTTGATCCAATGAGTGACACAGTCACACCTGAGTGGGTTACTGTGGATGCTGATCTCACGCAGGTTTGGAAGGGATTCCACTGTCTTTTGGTAGACTGCATTCAAGGCATTGTTGTTCAGCATCAGGCTCTCCAGGGCAGGAACATTGCGAAATGCCAAACGATGTATGTAAGACAGCTTTGGATTGTTGGTGGCTTCAAGCTTTGTAAGCTCAGGCAGGTTGTCCAGCGCATACCTATCAACAGAAACGAGTTCTCCCATATTATTGATTCCAAGTTCCTTCAATCTGAGCATGTTTTTAAAATCACCTTCTTGAATTTTATGAATTGGATTTTTGTTGAGATCCAGGAATTTTAAATTTGGAACTTTCTCAAGTGCAAGCTGAGGAACTTTTACCAACTTGTTGTCATAGAAGGAAAGACTTTCAAGGCTATCCAAGCCTACTAAGGCATTGCCAGGAATGTCTGTGAGATACATACCTGCCAAAACTAGACTCCTTAAATTTGAGAGTGGTTTGAAATTCATATCTAGTATTCCAATCACTGGGTTTTCTCCAATCATGAGAATCTCTAAGTTAGGAGTAGAATCAAACCACCGGCTGTCAATAACCTTTAATTTATTGGAGTTGAGATGCAATCTTAAAAGATTCTTCAGGCCAGAGAATGCATTTGCAGATATGCTGTTGATCTGGTTGTGATTTATATATAGCTCCTGAAGATTGCAAAGGTCTTGCAAGCAGTAGTCAGTCATCTCTGTTATCTGGTTTTCCTCCAAGTGCAAAGTAGTAAGTTGAGTGAGGTTTGAGAGCCCCACATCTTTGATACTTGTGAAGTTATTTTGTGAAAAATCCAATTCTGTTAAATTAAAGAGCTGTTGGAGTTCGTCTGTAGTCTTTGCAATGTTGTTGCTTTGTAAGAGAAGGACTTGAGTGTCACCAGAAAGATTGCTGGGGATTTTTGTTAATCGAAGGTCATTGCAGTCAACTGTTGTGGCTTCCCTGTATGTTGACTGTGGTGTAAACCATGGCCTGATTTCACATACACAAAGCTGTGGACATTCATTACTCTGTATGGAAGACTCAGTTAATGAATTCATTAACAATTCTAGCACCAACTGGCAGACAGTTAGAACAACTCTAACCTTTGCCATGCTGGTCAGCTACTGAGTTCAGTTCCCCCAGCCCCTTAAGATAAGAACAGGCTGAGAGGGTAACTTGTTACCAGGCAGAAAAGATAAAACTTAAAAGTTTAAGGTGAAAGGCTTGGACATCCAGAAGGTGAAAGATGATTTTCTGAGTTTAGAGAAGACAAGAAATGGTCTGAAGAATTTCAGCTACTCCTCTGTATTCCAGAATCTTCTGCAAATCAGTGTCTGAAGATGTTCCTGAAAACAGATTAGGGTATATGTTATGTTCATCTCATATACAGTTCATATACTACCACATTTTTTCCATCCTTTAAAGAAAAAAGTATTAAACCAATAATTATTTAACATTCATCTCTCTTCAGAGAAATCCTGATCTGGTACAGTCAAGCTCTGCAGGGTTCAGAACTCTTTTACTGGGTATTTACATGAGAAAACTCTCTGACATTTCCCAAGTAATTGCAACAATCTATGCAATCACCTGAACAGAAAAATTTCAGATTCCTTTCAGTTTTACTTTGCAATATTTGTTTGAGTGGCTTGAGAAATGCTGAAGATGGAGACATGCTTGTGGGTGCAGCTCCATCTCAGACAGAGCTGTCCTTGAGGCTTGGATTTCAGGTGCAAGGAGTTAAGATGCTGGGGTTTAAATTTCAAGCTAACTGCATACAAACTTTGCCAAAATTCATCCACGTTAATCAAATCAGGTCCAGATAACAGATTTAATCCAGCTAAGCACCAAACAATACCAGTAAGTTTGATTAAATGAGTGTACTGTCCTTATTTTAGCTGTTTGTACTGCATTGTGTACCATGTGTGAATTGTTTACCACAATTCCACGTGATTGTGTAAACCACACAATTTTTATCTTTTTAGCCTGATGTTGTTCATGCAAGAGT